ATGATGACTGTCTCTTATACACATCTAGATGTGTATAAGAGACACATCTTAAACTCATATATACACTTATATAATCAGGATTTTTAACCATTCTGCGAGTTCTATTTAACACAGAGCCTGGAGGCGTTGCGTTGAGTTGGTATGGAAACAAACATACAAATCTGGGTTGTATCGGGAATTTCCCATCGATTAATTTAAGCAACACAATAGTCATATATACCTATTTTATTCGCTTCTATATCTTATCATTTTATTTGTTTGACATCTTTGATAACTATTAGTAGCAGATCAGGGTGGCGCCAGCGGGAGAGAGGTTGGTGACCGAGAGGGCATCCCCATCCTTCAATTTGTCGGGGAGGAAAACAAATGGTTTTTTTTTACATATTAGTAGACGCGAAAATCGATCAAATAACGATGTGAAACCTTAAATTTTCATATTTTCCCCCTTGGGCTCGGAGGTTAACTCTCTAGAATAAGCAGACATTGTGGCTACAATTCCTTTTTGTAGTCTCTGGAGGCCTAAATCTGCACTTCGAGCACCCCTAAATCCGCACTCCGAGCACTTCTCTCAATTCCATCCCTTATGGGAGGGTTAGCTTGAGGCACCACCAAGGTTGGTGTGTTTTCAGGCGCCAAGTATTTGTCGTAAGTATCATGAAGTACCTTTTCATCAAATTTTTCCTTCAACATGGAGTTGATGGAAATGACCTTTGGGATGCTAGTAGTCGACGATTTGTCAATTTTGAATCTCTTTAAAAGCATAGTACTTTCAGCTTGAGGGGTGTCCCCTACAACATTAGCACCAGAAACATGCAAGATTAGCCCTGCATTTGGCATCATTTTTTAACCAGCTATATGCAGTATCAAGACCATAAAAAGCAGCAAAAATTATAAATTCTGACAATAAAACGGGGGGGGGGGGGGGTGGCGTGTCAGTTATCTTATACGGTCAACATACAAAAATCTATGCGAGTATATTATAGATGAACCAAAGAAAATGTGATCTATTACAATTATTATTATTATTATTGCTTAAGTGCAATTTTCTAGAAACAATAACAAAGGACGCCCTCAGACTGTGATGACTAAAAAGAATAACCAATGGCTCTCTTAGCATGCGGGTACCATAGGCTTAGCCAACGAGCCGTCCGGCCGTCTTGGATGGCTCACAGTACAATTGTTTAAGACGGCTACTTTTACCGTGACGGCTTGAACGGCTTGGCTTATTCAGCTCGGCCTAGCCTAATTGGGCCTGGTCTAACTTTTGCAAATTTTTTATATTCTTCAAATCTATCAAATGTTACATTAAACTATAAAGCTAAATCATATTTATGTTTGATAAAAACAACATTTGTGGCAAAGACAAGCCAAACCAGTCACTCCTCGCAAATTGTGTTTCAGAGAAAATAGCAAAAACATGCTAGAATGTAAAATTTTTAAAAATCTATGTTATTTCACTAAACTGAGGTTTATGTATCTATACATCATGCTGTGCTGATATTTTTCCCAATTTCAATGTTAAAACAACACTTTTTAAAGATTTTATGATAGCTTCTGCATGAGAAATGACTGAAATCAAACTTTGAAGGCTGATTTCTCATATATTGTTCTTTACTGTAAACAGCTGTATACTTAAATGCTTGTAACTTCATAAGGAAATGTCGAATTTGAATGATTTTTTTACCATTTTATAGCTCTTATTTTACTCTTTAACCCTGTATTAATAACTCAAAATCGATTTTTGCGACGAGTGACTGGTTTGGCTTGTCTTTGCCACATTTATTGATTGAATGTACGTTGTTTTCGTACCAATATTCAGTCGGGATTCCCATCTGCTCAGTGCCACGCCCACTGGCTTCCATTTTGAACGGCCTATTTTGTTTTTCTGGCTAAACCCCTGGCGGGTATAATTCAATAACAATATTTGGTTGGTATGAATAGTTTAACTTGGTCATATTTCAAGGAAAAATACGTCGTTAGCTAAGACTGTACTACCTGTACAGCACCCTCTGCTCGAGTAAATCTTTACAGTCTTTTACTCCTCAAACTCATTTATTTGTACATTTTATTATTCTGGGGAACAGATATTATTCTCCTGAAGACAATTGAAGCAAGTCAACCGAAACGTCGAGATATTCTCAACCAACTACAACAGTTCTTTTCAGAACTATCTTTGTGGTGTACCGCAAGCATTAATTATATATTATACTTCGCCATGCAAACCTTCAAACAAACAATATTTTGTACATTTTATCGTAAAATAACTTACTGAAAAGCCTTGGCAAGTATTTCTTTAATAAACTTCACAGTATGTATTGACCCGCTAGACGCAGAGTTCTCGGAACGCCGCCCTCAGCGGTGAGTGCGATGCACAAATCAGGGTCAAAAGTGGAACGTGAAATTTGGATATGGTTTCGTAGTCAGATTTGCAAGAAAAACTTCAGCTACCCGTATTTCTCGACTGAGATGTCTGTGGGAGCTGTAATTTGTATGGCAAGGAGATTGTGCAACCCTTATTTCGTATTAAGGGAATTTAAGCCCAGAAACCTTGTAGTTATTAATATTTTGGTTATAATAGAAAATATTCATTTTTTGGTGACGTCACACTCACAATATAGTTAGCATGCATACGTCATAAGCTAGATTACGTCACCTTTTCCTGGTAAGGCAAACTATCCCGGCATGCTTTTTTCATGGATAAACAAACACCACTGCTTTGCACATGGATGCCTTGTACTAGATTCAAGATACAAGAGCCGCATTGTTAGCATTGTATAATATGCAACTGAATTATTCTTAGTTATTTGCTTTTGTTTTTTAAAATTTTATTTTAATTTATTTCTTTCGAAAGTGTACTTTCTATCACATATTATTGCACTGTCTAGTTAGGCCTAGCCCTAGTCTTATTATGAATTCCTCATCGTCATCCGCTACACAGAACATCAGCTTATACACATCTAGATGTGTATAAGAGACAGCCCCCATACAGTACAGACGTTTGCTGGACAACAACGTGACTGAACCTTCCTTCCCAGGTGTTCATGTATTGGCATATTGTTAGCTAACAGAGGCGGATCCAGAAATGTCCAAAAGGAGGGGCCGGAAGGGGGGCCGAAAGTTGGGCCGATTGAGACAACACTGTCGTAAGGGGTCTGGGGCATGCCCCCGCGAAATTTTTGTGTTCTAGACGCCCGAACATAACATTTGAGGCATTCTGGGCTATCATTTTTTTCTTTTTCTCTCT